CCCCGCGGCTCGCACGGAGCCCCGATGCCTGGCCCATGCCTTCCTGAACTGCCGGCGCCGCCGGATGGCCAACTGCGTCCTGTGCCGTACGACGGTCCGGCAAAGCGGACTCGGGCAAGGACGCAACACTTTTCATGAAAAAAAAAAAAAAAATTTCTTTTTTTGTTAAAGCCCGACTTCGTTGCCGGCTTCCCCCTCTGCCGGGGTAATGTCCCGTTCAAGGGACGCTCGGACATTGGGATGCTGCATGAGTCGGAGAGAAAAGAAGAGAAAATGATTAAAGAATTTTTTTTTTTATTGTTACTCTTTCCGCATACACAGTATCGTTGCCACTCGCCGGATTGTGCATGTTGTTCTTGTTGCGGGTGTGGGGGTTGCTGGGTTTTGCGGATTGCGGTGTTCATGTTGTGTTGTTAGGGTTTGTGTTATGTTACGGGGCACACATGGGAGTGAAGGGGTGTTGTATGTTTTATTAGCAGCCGGGTCGGCTGCGAGCTATGTGGTAGGGGGTGATGTAGTGGTGGTATTGACGTGCGCCGGCAGTGATGGATCACGGGGCGCGGGGTTGGGCACGCGGTGTGGGCGTGGCATGGACGCGCGCGCCGGTGGTGAGGCGCGCTCACACAAGCTGGGAAAAGAGGATCGTAGCGAGTGCGCAGTGATTGGTCAGATAAGTGGGTACTCTCAGCGACGTCCGCAGGAGGGGTATAAAGGGGGACGCGCGAGAGCACTCGTGGTCAGTGTTAACCAGTTGAAGACCGAAGACGGGGTGGAGGAGGTAGGGGCCCGAGACCCCTAGTCCCGCCGTCCTTGTGGGGACCGGGGCCCTGTGTGGCTCGGAGCCGAGACTGGGGGGACCGTAGTCCGACGCCCGTGTGGGTCGGGACGGTGGTACCCAGAGCCGAGACGGGCACCCCGGCTGGGTGTGTCCCGGAAGGCTACGGGGCGTAAGAGCCCGTGTCAGTACAGCTGAGTGGGTGTTGGTCACCCGTGTAGCTGAGTGGGTGTTAGTCACCCGTGTAGCTGAGTGGGTGTTGGTCACCCGTGTAGCTGAGTGGGTGTTAGTCACCCGTGTAGCTGAGTGGGTGTTGGTCACCCGTGTAGCTGAGTGGGTGTTGGTCACCCGTGTAGCTAAGTGGGTGTTGGTCACCCGTGTAACGAAGTTGTAGCTGAGTGGGTGTCCGTCACCCGTGTAGCTAAGTGGGTGTTGGTCACCCGTGTAACGAAGTAGGGTGTTAGTCATCCGTGAAACTACAAGTTGGTGAAAATAAAGAGTGTGCTACCCGTGAAGTCGTCTCCTGCCGAGTTACTACTTTACACATATCCCTTACTCGCATTTACGACTCTTTGGATGCGTTAGGAGGGGCAACATTCTCCTCAATTTTGGATGTCATCAGGGTTTTGGCAAATATCCTTTGATAGTTCTAAATTAAATATAGCATTTAGGACACCTCAGGGACTTTGCCATTTTAATGTATTACTCATGGGTTTACTTACAGCGCTGGCGACATTTCAGAGACTCGTGGAATTGGTTGATAGCAGTACTACAATGGGAAATGTCTTATTATTTGGATGACGTCAGTTTTGGTTCCTCCTTCAAGGAGCACTTAGACTGAGACAGGTTTTCCTTAGAGTGCGTGCTGCCTGGCTTAAGCTCAAATCATCCAAATGTCACTTAGTTCAGTCATTCGTTCGTTATTTGGGACATTTCGTTAGTGCTGCAGGATTTGCCACAGACCTGAAGAAAACACTTTCCGTCAGGGAATGGCCGACACCAACTTCAGTTTCCGAGGTCAGGAGGTTTGTTGGCTTTGTGTCGTATTACCGCCGCTTCGTCCTGCAGTTTGCGAGCATTGCCAAGCCACTGCATGCACAGACTGCCAAAAACCAAAGGTTTAACTGGAGGGAGGCCAAGGAGAAGGCTTTCACTACCTTGCATGATCAGCTGACCAAGGCTCAGCCTCTAGCATACCGTAATTTTTATTTCTCGTTCATTCTTGACACTGATGTGAGTGATGTAGGCATCGAGGCGGTTTTGTCACAATTGCAGAATGGAGCAGAAGTGGTCATTGCCTATCGCAGTCACGCGCTGTCTCTGACCCAGCAACGCTAATGCGTAACCCACAGGGAACTACTGATGGTTGTCCACTTTGTACAGCAGTTCAGGCCGTATCTCTATGGACGACTATTCACAGTACACACAGACCATGCTGCACTTTAACATTCATTATGCATGGACCATCCATCGGGTCAGGTCGGTTGCTGGATGAAACAACTCCAGTTCAAGTACGATATTGTACACCTGAAATGATTGCGACACAATAATGCAGACGCACTATCACGGCTGCCACCTTTGGAATCCTGCTCATGTGAGTCGGGGGCAGGTCGTTATAGACAGTAGTCCTCTGGGAGTTCTGCTGTGCTTGCGCCGGTGTAGTCTATAGGGGACGGTCACACTATGATTGTCACGTAGCACTTACATGGGGAGAGTGGATCATGCTAGAATTAGCTGACAGTTCCTTGGGGCGAACACACCGCAAGGGGAGGTGTTATCAGAGCCGTACTTCATTGTGTGGCACGGATTGTTGATATATTGGGATAGCAAGGCTCAGAGGTTTTGTCTTGTAGTACCAGAAGCTCTGTGTCAATAACTATTCTATGAAATCCATTTTAACCGCATGGCACATCTGGGTCACCGAAAGACACTCTTAACCTTCAGACAGGACTATTGGTGGCGCATGTCGGCAGATTTGCAGAAATGGGTAGTGGGATGCTGGGAGTTCATTTGCCGAAAGCCACCTGCTCAACCCATAGACCACTCTTGCAGTCCATTGCAGTAAAATGGGTAAACGAGCTCGTTGCATTGGACATATTGGGCCCGTTTCAATGCACCACAAGGGGAACAAATATTTGTTGGTTGGTGTGGAATAAGCTACCCGCTGGCCCATGGCGTGGCGCTTACCTAATCAGACTGCTGCTTCGATTGTGGAAGCCTTTATCCAGGGGTATGTGTTGGACAAGAGATCACCGGCTCCTTACAGACCAAGGAAAACATTTTCCTCTAAACTACTAGAGGACATTTGTAACATACAGGGTACCAAGAAGGTCCGAACATCCCCTTACCATCCTCAAACGGATAGCATGGTGGAAAGACTGAATCGCACCTTGTCCAGTATGTTGTTTCAGATTACCAAAAAATTGGGACATGCACATACCAGGGGTACTGGCGGTTTACCGCCTGTCTCCACATGCATCCACATGATTCTCGCCGTTCTACTTAATGTACTGCAGAGAGCCAGAGCCATCAATTGACAGTAAATTAGTCCAACTTCCAAGCAAGTCTGTTTTTTGGCCGGTTGCTCTTCGCCTGCGCTTGCAGAGACTGCAGGAGGCTCATACGGCGGCTCTCGCGTCATGAGTGTCGGAGGTTGGCCTGTGCTACTCCGGTTCCCTTCAAGGTGGGGGACCTCGCATGGCTCCATTGTCCTCAGATTCCGATAGGCACGTCGCCAAAGTTGCATCGCCCTGGGAAAGGGCATGTGAACATTGCGGATCTACTAAGGCCTCAATGTGTGCACATTCAACTGGGATGTTAAAAAGCTGAGATTAGGAGCACTCCGTTTAAGAGTGTGCTCCTAATCTCAGCTCGTTACCTGTATAAAAGACACCTGGGAGCCAGAAATCTTTCTGATTGAGGGGGTCAAATACTTATTTCCCTCATTAAAATGCAAATCAATTTACAACATTTTTGACATGCGTTTTCCTGGATTTTTTTGTTGTTATTCGGTCTCTCACTGTTCAAATAAACCTACCATTAAAATTATAGACTGATCATTTCTTTTTCAGTGGGCAAACGTACAAAATCAGCAGGGGATCAAATACTTTTTCCCCTCACTGTATGTATTGCTCAGACACTTCTGCCGTGCCAAGTCATTTCTGTCGAACGTGTTTCCATAGTCGTTCAGCGTAAATGCACACTCATGGCGATGATTACCTTCAAATTGTCCTGGTCAATTGGGACACAAATCCTGGACATGCGGTGGTCAACATCGAAAGCTGTGTTATCTACGAGCGATTTCTTATAATCAAATGAAACGCAAGCAGTCTCTGCCAAGAAACAATGATCACCGATTCCTTAACGATCCAATCGCTGGGTCACATGGCTCTTCTTCTGTGCCGAGGGGGGGGAAGACAGCATGCACCTCGAGCCTCGTGAGCATTTGCGAACCCACATGGATGAGGAAAACACATCTCGGACGGGAGAAAGAAAACAAATTCAAAAACCAGACGCTTAGGCACCTCAAATGTCGCCGTGATACAAACCCCGAACCATTAATAACCTAAAAACCTCATCGTTTTGCGGAAAATTTCGTGTCTCACAAACAAGTTAAAAACTTTCAATCCAATGCATTCTTTATGACTGCCAATGCAATACATGAGGGCGCCTTCCTTTGCGCTTTGGGCAGGGCCCTTGTTGAATTGTAGATAGTTTTGAGGTTAAATACTGCTGCATTGAAATACAATGCTGGAGGTAATTTCGAGGCATGATCCAAACCCTACCTTCCCCATTTTGACCATACATGGCTATTGCGCATATCACTAACATGCCCTGTGAGTAGCACAACTTGTGCCGATTGGTGGAAGTGGTACTTCTGCATAGGTTTTTGCGGTTGTACAGCGCAGCTCTCCGACTTGTTTGCGGGTTGTGTGACTCTCTGTCGGTTAAAACTTCAGTTTATTCAGTCAAGGAAATTCAATTCTTGAAGAAACTCCTCCAGCACGGTATGACCCCGGAAATGCACGGGGGAGGTGAGAGTGGTGTTCGTCATGGCACACAGAGAGAGTGTTTCTAACTCCAGTGACACCACTAACTCAGGACTATGACTACTGCAGCAATGATGATGGAATGTGTGTATGGATGACGCTGTTTCCCGTCACAGTGGTGTTCTCAACAGCGAGAGACGCAGTTGAAAAAGCCGCTCACGTTGACACGAGGTAGGTGATGTTTGCAATGTTCTTTATATTATGATGACATCATCATCGCGATTGATGATGTGATTGTGAAGTGATGACGATAGAATTATGTGGCAGGGATGTTGAAAAAATGTGTGAAGTGATGACGATGCGGCACTATGGACACCAGCAGGAGGCAGCACAATAACCTGCATTGCTGTGCTGTAATATGCTCCCAACGTATACGCTTTCCCGTCTTCCAAAACTGCATCAATGACCAGCGTGCCACGGCATGTACCTGATGATAAATGATAAAAGTGATAATGCAACATTGATAATGCCAATGAGGCAATGGTGCCACGATAATGATGGCGATGGTGCTGATAATTTGAAGTCGTTTAGGTGTGAAGATCCATGATGAGCGAAAAATTTCCAATTCGGTGTAAACTCAGAATGGAACTCAGCTCCCCACTTCCCGGTGAATGCACCTTATCTCCCTACTCTTTTTTCCCTCCCCCCCAAACCTTCCCCCCTACCTCCAGCCGTAGTGACTGGCCCTTCGCACTGTGCTACTGGAGGAAGAGGATGCTGAATGCCATGGCAATGCATGCCACTCCCACATAAGCGCTCTTCCGCTCACCTGCACACACGCACACATACACGTACGTACATACATACACACATGTGCGTGCCAGCACACATGCACAGACACGTGCTTGAATGCACAAATGCAAGTACGCACACCAAAAAGATCCCCCGTATAGTTTTAACAGACTGTAGGAGCAAGTGGTGTTAGCAAGCCCCTATGAAGGTCGGGACGATACAGGAGAGAGTGGGTGGCCAGCACCACGCCCGGCTCCCTTTTTCTCCCTAGTGGTGATCTTTACTCCCTGCACCAGGTACTCATTTGAGGTTGAGTCGACCTAGGAGAGGCCCAAGACCAGTTCATATAATCGTCAATGATGTTGGCCATGGGCAGGAATTTAAATCAAGTCGCCGCGTTCATAGCACATCACGCTAACCACTACACAACCACTCCTCACAAGCACTAAAGAAAAATATCCCCCTATAGCTTTAAAAGACTGTTGGGTCAAGTGTTATAGCGAGCACCTATTAAGGCTGGCACGGCACATGAGGGGGTGAGTGATCAACACCACACCCAGCCGCCTTTGTCTCCCTAGTGGTGATGCTTACACATCACACCAAGTACTTATTTGAGGCTGAGTCGACCCAGGGGAGGCCCAGGATCGGTTCAGATAATCGTCAATGGTGTTGGCGGTGAGCGGGAATCGAACTCGGGTCGCTGGGTTTGTAGCACAGTACTAATCACTATACTACCGCTACCCATAAGTACAACAAAGAAAAAAACTAATATCCCTGTATAGCCTATAACAGATTGTAGGGGCAAGTGCTGTTAGCGAGCACCTATAAAGGCCGGCACGGCACACGAGGGGGTGGGTGGCCAACACCATGCCCGGCCGCCTTTTTCTCCCTCGTGGCAATGTTGACACATCGCACCGGGTCCTCATTTGAGGCTGAGTCGACCTGGGTTCGATTCCCGCTCATGGGAATCGAACCCGGGTTTGCCAGGTTCGTAGCGCAGCGTGGTAACCACTACACCACCGATACCCACAAGTACAAACACACACATGTGCAAGCACACACAGGCACGCAAATGCACGCGTAGTCACAGACTTGCATGCAGAACACTACAGATGCAAGCACTTATATGCACGCACATACTCGCACACATGCACGCACGCAGGCACATGCACGCACACACACACACGAGCATGAATAACTGGGCCAAGGGTCATGGAAGCGATCCATCTTTATGCTCCCAGAACCAGCTAGATGGTTCCAGAAGGGGGGCATGGCCAGGGTGGGGCCAGGCCCCGCTGGAAGGATAAAAGGGGGTGAAAGAGGGAGCTCGAGCTATCCGTGGTAATTGGGGTCGTCTCGTTATTGCTGTTTTTATTTAGACCTTCTCACTTATTGATGGTCTCAGCCCGATCACCAACGGCCACAGACACACACAAAAAAAACCCATAACGCAAAATTTTCCGCATTTAGTTTGGTTAAACTCCAGCTCTGAGAATCTAAATATTGGTATGACTGTCACATTAAGACACGTTACTCTCTATAAGCAGGGCGGGTAGAAAGGGGGTAAAGCCCCTTTATAGCTCCGCTCATTTCCTTTTTAGGACATGCCCCCTTCTTCGTTAGGCCCCGCCTATTTTTGTTTTGGCCCAATTCCCTCCTCCGGACACACAATTGGGCTTGTTTGGGAAGTTTTGGGCAGGGACAGTGGGGAGGGGGTGGGAATGGCTTCGCGACGACCAAAATCCCCCTTGCAGAAATGTAATAATAGATTTATATCCCCCTGCTGCTCACCCGGTCTTGTTGTGGTCGAGCATGGAGGGGAAGAGCGCCTGCACGTACGCGCATGTGCACACTAGCAGCAGCATCGTCAGCAGCACCGAGAAGTTAAACATGGCTAACTGGAGGGAAGGAGGGGCAGATGGGAGAGACACGAGGAATTTCACTTGTTAAATCGGGTGGTGGCAAAACGGTCAGGCAGAAGCATGTCAGTCACTTGTTGAAAAATATTTAATGGTTCAAATCTGGCAGGCCACCCTGTTTAACGCTGCAGGCATTATAATCCCGAACTGCTACGCGCCGTTTGCTTTACAGTGGAGGTTTCAGATTCAACTGACATCATTTGAAATTAGTAGGCCAATGAGTGCCAGCATCATAGTGAAAATTTACCATTTTAGTAAACTTACCTCGAACACAAAGCAACATTGCCCCCTACTGTGAAACTACTGGAGACTGTGTGGAAAACAGCAGCACCTAACTTTGTGTTGCTTGCCTTGTGCTATGAAAGCACCAATACAAAATGTACTGAATTATTATTCATTGCAACACTCAAACAGTGACCAACAGTATGTATATGACCATTTGAGGACTGTTTTGAAAAAAGACGTGATACACCACAACATCCAGAAAGTAGAGGCTTGTGTTAATAGTAGATGGATTCAGTAAATCTAAGCGGTGGATTTGCAAGTCCACCGTTTATAGTAAATTAAGTGGATAATAAAAAGTGAATAAGGTTTGTTATTATTTTTACTTGTCTTTCACGACCAATTTTATAGAATTCCCTCTGATTGGTTGCTTGGTCGCTGTGACATCACGCACTGCAACCAATCGGCGTGTTCGATGGGACTCGTTAACAACAGGACCCTGCGGGGTGGGCTGGTAGGACCGAATAACCAAAGAATATAAACATAATGTATTATTACACTTGTTTAGCCAGGAAAGCCCCATTGAGTCTAAAGGTTTTTGTAGGGTCCTGCCAAGTGTTTGCAGTAGGGGGCGATGTTGCTACACCGAATCAGACGATACGAAGGGACAGTGTGAGGCCTAGTTCTAGGCTTTAGGCCTAGCTGTAGGCGTTAGGCCGCTGTGAGTTTATTTTTAATTTAAATGTTTTAATTATTTATGTAAAAGCTTTAAATGAAAATGTTTCTATTTAAAAACATCAGGGAATGTAACATTGTTAAACATTAACTCCCTTTCACACACGCGGGGGTACGATACGAAGGAAGAGTTTGAGGCCTAGGTCTAGGCTTTAGGCCTAGCTGTAGGCTTTAGGGCGCTGTGAGTTAAATTTTCATTTAAAAGTTTTAATTAAAAGCTATCTCAGGGAATTATAAGGGAATGTTACACTTGTTTAGCCAGGAAAGCCTCATTAATTTAAATGTTTTAATTAAAAGCTATCTGAGGGAATTATAAGGGAATGTTACACTTGTTTAGCCAGGAAAGCGTCACTGAGTCTAAAGGTTTTTGTAGGGTCATGCCAAGTGTTTGCAGTAGGGGGCGATGTTGCTACACGGACGGACGGACGATATAATCTATTGTAGGCTGGTCCACTTCGTTCCTACCAGTATAATTTTTTTACGTAATTTTATACTTAGCATCATCACACAGGCTGGGTCGCTGCTTGCTGAGCAGTACGGCACGTTTCCATGCCCTGTAAACGTGATGATACAAATTTATCATAATAAAATAAAGATTAGACACCTTATCCGTGCAATAATTAATAATCCTGTGCTGCATAATGCTACATTATTTGCAACTCACCGTCAGCCAGTCCCCGCCTTACGAACGGGTTCTGTTCCAGAGGCCCGTCCATTGGTCCAACTGATCGTACGTTGACACACTCATTGCACTAAATCCCCACTTACAAAAACACGTAGATTACACATTTCGTGAAAAAATGTTCAATACAACTTGCAAACGCCTACTCACACTGGCGAAATGAACTGCCGAACTACTTGGTTTGGCTGAGCGATCCTCCGCCAGCTGTAATGAGTCCTAAGATCACCGCTGGGGGTGTGTGTTAAGACTGTGTGTATGCACATGCGTGTGTGTGTATGTGTTTTGTGTACGTCCGGCAAAACAACGCCCTACCTCCTCGTTGGTACCGGATGGGAATGCTGTGGTGAGCAGTGCTATGGGGGAGGGCCAATTTCAATTGACCATTACCCTCATGGCATTTGTAGCAACCACAGCGGCCAAAGGGGGCTCTGGACAGTGCTGGTAACCCCTCCACATTCAATTAATTTCTACAAAAACAATCTCCAACTAAGCTTGTGCTGGAGGCCCTGGGGGGACAGGCATCTATGACGTCTCCTGGCCAAACCCCATTTGGCGGAGCCAAGAGATTGAATACCCTTGGGGTTCCTCCAGAAACAACAAAAAGTCACTACGGGTAACCCAGTTGAATGTTTGAATGCTCACTGCGGAGGAGAGGCTGCCACTCCTCTGTCGGGAGCTGGACTGGTACCGCCTGGACCTCTGTGATCTTCTAGAGGTCCGGTGGACTGGCTCTGGCTCCTGCCACTATGAGGGGTGGACAGTCCTCTACTCGGGGCTGGAGACTGCCAAATAACAGGGAGTGGCTCTTTTTCTGAACAATAGAATAAAGGCGGTGTGGGAGCATCAGGGTGAGGTGTGGGTAGCTGTAATCCTCAGGATATTTTGGGTTTGCCTTCCCATTAACCAGAGGCGAGGAGTGGTGGTCGTGGTTACTTATGCCACCACTGAAGATAAACATCAGTAGAGGGATTCTATGACATCCTGTTTCAGATGCTAGCTAAAGTGGCCCCTCAAGATAGAGTAATCCTGTTGGGTGAATGCATGGGCCAGATCAGCTCAATAACAATGGTAGGAAGCTGCTAGATTTTTGGGCAGCCCATGGGCTTGAAATTACCAACACGCTGTTCCGGCATCGGCACATCCATACAACATCATGGATGCATGCCGAGTCCAAGCAAGAACATCTGCAGGACTATATAGTGATGGAACAGTGGATGCGGGCCCATGTCCTTGACACCAGGACCTACCGTGGAGCTGATCTGCCCACTGACCAACGACTTGTCATCTGTAAGATGTGCCTGCCATTCTTCCACTCCGGTGGTGGGTGTACAACCAGGACCCCATTCAAACCCATATTGGCCTGGTCTCAGCTAGCTGATGAAAGTTGCAAGCGAGAATATCGTCATTGCTTGCAGCTGAGGTTAGCATCGTCCCCCACTCCTCCTGATGTCGAGGGGATATGGGCGAGGTTTCGGACTGTGGCTCATGCAGCTGCAATGGCTGCGTTGGGTACATGGTCCAGACCTCCCCAGAGACCCTGGCTGACAGAGGTGTTAAGGCTGGCTGAGAAAAAGCAACAGGCCCACTCATTGTCTACAGCATCCCACGTCAGAGAATGAGGAGGCTGACCACAGCCTTCGCTAGGGGGTTCGGAGAGCCATGAGATGCTACAAGGATGGGTGGTGGTCGTGGATTGCTGAGGAGATGGAATCTGCCCCAGTGGCCCGCGATCAAAAATCGCTCTTTAATTCCATCAAAAAAGTAACTTGCAGCACCACACCTATTACCATCATCAGGGGAAAGAACAGTGATCCAATCTCTGACCCCCAGACACAGGTTTGCAGATTTGCTGAGCATTTCTGTGAGGTCTTGGGGGAGGGGAAATCCCTCAGCCTGGAAAACATCATGGGGCAACGTGGGGATGACCCTGCTGAAGCTGCAGTGCCTCAAATATTGGAAGAAGTAGTCACCCCCTGTCAGTGACTGGCTGAGGTGCCATCTTTTGAGGAAGTGCTGAAGGCGATCCAGAGTCTGAGACCAGGAAAGGCACCAGGCAGAGATGATCTCCCAAGCGAAATGCTGATGGAGGGTGGTGTTTGTGCACAGACTGCCCTACATTACATCATAATAAGTCTGGACCACTGGATGGGTTCCGCAGGATTGGAAGGATACCCTGTTGGTCCCCCTCTTTAAGAAGGGGGACCATACAGACTGCAATAACTACAGGAGCATCTCACTCCTCAGTGTGCCGGGAAAGATTCCTGGCAGAGATTATTCAACATCGCCTTGCCAGGCACACTGAGGAGAGGCTTGCAGAGCCCCAATGTGGTTTCAGGAAAGGGCGGTCCTGCACTGATGCAATATTTCTGTACGTCTGCTGCAGCAGAGGTGTAGGAAATTCCAACAAGACCTACATCTCTGCTTTATTGACCTGCTCAAGACCTATGATACCATCAGTCGGCCTGGGCTCTGGGTTGTTCTTTGTGCTTTCGGAGTCCCTGACTCTCTGCTCCCGATCATTAAGGACCTTCATGATGGTTAGTGGGCCCAGGTAAACTACATGGCCGCGAGTTGAAGCCATTCCCTGTTCACCTTGGGGTGCGACAGGGATGTCCTCTGGCTCCCACATTTTAAAAAATCTATTTCGACCACGTAGTTCATGAAGCCTTTGATGGTTGTACCAGAGAAATTTACATCTGGTACAGATACAATGGAAGGCTGATCAATGCCCAGATGCGGTCTAGGGATGGCTCCCTATTGGTCAAACATGTTACATATGCCGGTGATCTGGTAATTGCTGCTCACTCAGAGGAGTATTTGGAGGTGCTGCTGCTGAACCTGGAGCGTGCCACTAAGAGGTGGGACCTTACCATCAGCCCAACCAAAACTAGCACCTGCCTGGGTTTTTTGTATCATCAGACACTCCACCCCCACAACTCCCAATTGGTGATGGGGCAGTTGTGGAGAGAGTGGAGAGTTTCCCATACCTGGATAGTGTGCTCATGACCGGCCCTGGTTTGATAGCAGAGGTCTCACTCCGAATCAGTTGAGCAGCATTCTTTTCTTCGGTTGCGCAAAACTGTGTGGAAGCTACATGGTCTGTTGCTCCACACAAAACTTCAGATCTTCTCGGCCATAGTCATGCCCTCCCTTCTCTACGCTTGCGAAGTGAGAACCCCCTAATGGAACATCTTCGCCGGTTTGAAATATTTAGGCTGGCCTGCCGACGGTTGATCCTGGGTTTAACCAGGCTGGATTGTGTGAGGAGCTAAAAAATTCTTGAAAGATCTGGACCAAGTCCTATCAGTGAGCTCCTCCGGAAGGCAAGGCTGCGTTAGCTGGGTCATGTCGCCTACATGCCCAGCCATCGCATGCATAAGCAGCTTTTGTTCGGCCAGATAAAGGGGACTTGCCGATGACTGGTACCAGCAGTGTCAAGATCGGCCTCTGTTGAGGAAACTCGTAAAGGATGCTACTGGGCAGTTGGAGGCAGTCGCCCTCCAACAACAATGGAGGGCAGAGGAACGACGCTCACAACAACGAGCAGAGCGACGGGGTGGCTAAAACACAGCAAGTTGGCACAGTAGGGGGCACAAGTGGTGCATCGGCCAGTCATCTTAGTCAGTCGACCCATGGCACCTGGGGGGTCTGCTCCGTCACCTCCTTTTAACGGGCGTTCGACACTTCACGTGGCTTCAACATGCACATAGCCTGGCACAAGCGCCGTAGTGATGTCACGGGCAATTAGTGGCGAACAGCGGTTGTTGTTGCTGTTTATGTATGTGTGCTAAGAACGATAGTGTAGCAGTTAGTGCGCTGCGCTACGAACCCAGCCACCCGAGTTCGATTCCCCCCCACGCCCAACCCCAGTGACGACTATCTAAACCGGTCCTGGGCCTCCCCGAGGCCCACTCAGCCTAAAATGAATACCTGGTGCAGTGTGTAAACATTGTCCCTAGAGAGACAAAGGCGGCTGAGCGTGGTGCTGGCCACTCACCCCCCCCGTGTGTGCCATTCCTGCCTTCAGATGTGCTGCTCGCTAACAGCACTTGCGTCAGGAGCGGTAGTGTAGCGGTTAGTGCTACACTGAGTTAAAAACCTGCCAAGCCGAGTTACATTCCCGCACACGACCACCACCAGAGATGATTATCTGAATAGGTCCTGGGCCTCCCCTAAGTCGACTCAGCCTCAAGTAAGTACCTGGTGCGGTGTATAAACATCACCACTGGGGAGACAAAGGTGGTCAGGCTTGGTGCTGGCCACCCACTTTTGTGTGCAGTGCTGGCCTTCATTAGATGCTACTCGCTAATAGCACTTGCTCCAACAGTCTGTTAAGGCTATATGGGGGATGTTTGTATTTGTGTGCATGTTAAAGTGTGTGTGCCTTAACAGCTATGACAATTATCCCCTAGGACCTAGGTCGACTTAGGCTCAATTGCATACCTGCTGTGGTGTGTAAACAACGCCACTGGCAATACAAAGGCGCCATTCTGGCCTTCAGATGTCCTGCTTGCTAACAGCACTTTCCACAACAGTCTGTTAAGATTAAACGGGCGATCTTTGTCTTTTTGTGCGCGTGTGAAAATAAGTGTGTCTGTATATCTTCTGAACAGACCCCTTTCATAAATTGGAAACTGCCCAAATCCTCAGGGAAATTCCACGGGTTCCTGCTAGTATGATTCATAATGGATGTTTGGATAAGATCGTGAAAGTAAAATGTGTGTCGTACACCCTCTTCCACCCGATACAGCTAATTAATATGTGAACAAACTTGCCACTTTATTACTGCTTCAGCACACGAGGATGCTGGAGAGCAGCTCACAACATTTAACAATTGGTTACGACGTTTCGTTGGTAGTTACAACCAGCATTATCAGGCAGCGACGTGGATTACTGAGTTTATCCTTGACACCCCCCCTCATTTGTTAATTTAACTTCACACTGCATTCACTTGAGGTGGTCCAAACAGATCGGCCACGTTCCAAGTCCGGATAATTTGTTCATAGGCCTTAGGGGTTATAGTCTTGCTGTTCTTAACAGTAAACATATTTCTGTTTGTATGTTCTTCCCCTGCAAATCTGATATTTATTTTGTTTATACATAAACAAAGAGACGAATGCTACTTTAATTAATTTGCTTGACTGTAACAGTACATAAGCTTATTGAATGCAAATGACGAGATATTACGTTCAAGTATTAATTAATTTAATGACAATGGGACTAAAATGTAAAAATAGGTAAAAATAAGTATTTCAATACACACACTTTTATTTTCACTACAAGGTTGAAAATTAATCATTTTGACTACAGAATTAATCAAATTGTATCTTCTAAAATTAGGTGGCTTGCATAAAGAAAAGTAAACATATCCAAAGGAAGCCACCCACTTTTACTCTTTGGTTCTTTCGGTAAAGTTATGTAGAAAGAAAATAAATTAAATAATAGAATACGACGTTTCGATTGCAACACAAGCAACCGTCATCAGGTAGAACTAAATTTGAGAGAGACAAAACACAGACACGGAGACACACAGACAGACACACAAGCAGAGAGAGACAACACAAGAGACACACAGAGAGAGGCACTCAACATCGACACACAGAGACCCAATGCCTCTGTCGAGGCCTTAAATAGAATGAGGGGGGGAGGGGGCAGAGAGAGAGGTGGGTCTGCTGGAGCAGCTGCTGGAGCAGAGAAATTAGCATGTTAATGAAATACCCAACAAGACTGGTACATTTTAGATAGAGTTGTGTGGAAATCCACCCCGAAGCGACCGAGCGAGAGAAAGCGAATGGACCTATGAGAGCCTGGTAAATTTATGAGAAATAGGCCGTTTGAGAAAACAAACTTAGCTCATAATTGGTTTTTTACCCTTCTATCTGGCAACAAAACTGACACCTTTTTACAAGGAGTCATGTTTGCATAGACCGCAATACCTGCAGTCATAATACAAACAAAAGAACATAACTCTGATGTGCACTGTCCTTGAAGTTGATTGGTCCACACCCGAGACAGCTTTCCTTAGAGCCTAGTCTCACATGGGTTGGACCAGATGACGCCAAAAGGCGCCTTTTGGCGTCATCTGGTCCAACCCATGTGAGACTAGGTCTATGCAAACATGTCTCCTTGTAAAAAGGTGTCAGTTTTGTTGCCAGATAGAAGGGTAAAAAAACAATTATCATATTTTTGCTGGCAAATGAGGTTCCCATAGTGTAAACTTAGCTCACTTTTAATTAGTCTGGGGTCAAAATTATGTACGGTATTTTCTACTTTGGAGTGCAAATAAAAGCGTGTGCATTAAAAAACTAGCTTTTTTATATATAATTATCAAGGCTTTAAGACCGAAACAGGATGATTCCTCCACAACTTTGGCTGTTACTTGACGAGGCTGGTTGTAATTACCGGCGAAACGTCGTACTCGAATTGTAAATGTTGTGGGTTTACTCTCCATCACACAGGTGTGCTGAACTAGTAACGAATTGGCATATTTTGTTTACATGACAAACCTTACTAATTGGCTGTCAATTATTAACCCAAAACAAAACCTCTAATATGGATCAAGGATGTATATAAGACACGAATATTCATTTTAATAGCGTAAGCACGTAATGTGAGCTTCAAAGTTACTCACGAGCTCATGAACACGACATCGCCTACATGTACAGCACTTGCCAATCCACTGCTGGATGAGGGCCTCCCCACGCTGCTGCGGGCGGGCCGCAGGTGATGTTTGGCCATACTTCACCACGCTGGTCAATGGGGTTTGGCGAATGCGAATACAATCACAATCAAGCAATTGACAGTTAACGCGACTTCATAACAGCGACCGTAGCTATTGACTGGGAAAACTCTCACGCACTGACCATCTGTGTGCAATCTAATAACCAACATTTAAACATCAACACTTGCACGCGAGCTGATTTTACTGAACTAATTTTCAACAACTAAAGCATTCAACTATAACGACAACAAAAAAAATACTAAGTAAAAACTGCCACGTATGCAGGCCCGAGACGGCGAGGGCGACCTCGACTAGCGGCTTTGGCCGCACGAGTTGAAAGGCAACGCGGCCACCGCGACAGTACCAATGGTAGGCCTCGATATCTGCCAGGCCGCAGACATCGGTCTGTGTTTTAAGCAAAATTAAATTAACTTAAAACTAAGTTTACGCGCTAATAGAGGCGGCGATGGCTGCACTCGGGTGATTAAACTGTTAAAGGTTTTAAATAAACGTGGGTATGCGGGTATGGCCGTGTACCATAGAGCTGGTGGTGATGAGGCAGGAGACGGCAGTCGCAGCCACTCGGGGACGAAACGGTGAGAGTTGAGGACTTTAATAAGTTTAACTCTACAGAAGCAGCACAGTCCTCTCATCTCACTCTGCCTACTTTCAGCTCACTCTACCTCTCCCCTGTCATATCACTCTCCCCTCTCATCTCACTCTCCCCTCTCATCTCACTCTCCTACCTCTCATATCACTCTACCGCTCCCCTCTCATCTCATTCTCATATCACTCTACCTCTCCTCTCATCGCACTCTACCTCTGTCATCTCACTCTACCTCTCCCCTCTCATTGTACTCTCCTGCACTCTCCTACCTCTCTCCCTTATCCCTTATCATCTCACTGCCTCCTTTCAGTTCACTCTACCTCTCCCCTCTCACCTCACTTTCCCAGCTTTAACCCAAAAACCTCTATTACGGTTATATTGTATTATTAATATAACATCTGTGCAAACACGCTTTGTGTTTTATTATTTACTGCTGGATGATGGCCTCCCCGTTACGTGTGAGTCATGGAGGTTGTTTTGCCATACTTCACCACTCAATTAAATTATTACGATATAATTGAGATATTTCATCTGCTAAATTATTTGATAATTTTGTGCTCTTCAGATCGGGTTTGCCACCTGTGAAATTGAATCTGTGTTCGGGTGGGAGGAATCGATTTGTAATAAATTGTGGTTGTGGTAGTAGGCTGTACAAAGATGTAGGAGTTCGTCCAGACATTACTACTCTACTTAGTGCCCAGAGCGCTCCCTCCTCTCCATCTCAGCAGCGCGGCCTTGCTGGCTTCCAGGGTCAACTGCAAGTTCCCCCCGGTAAGGTGATGCTCAGGTAAGAAGATCGATGAACACGAGGAGGGGGACGCAAAGCTCTGACCATCCTGACTGTGAATGCAAGTGCGTGATGTCGAACCGCACCCTCTTTTACAGGTACAACACCTGGGGTATGGGTTGACCTTCCATGAGAAATGTCTCTCTGCGCGCCAAACCCGTTTGGCGAGATATACTGTAGATTAATTAATGATGCTGCCAAGGTGTAAAACAAAAAGTAGTTATGAAGGCAAAATGAATGGGTACAATACAACGCGTGTGTAAACATGCCGGTTGTTTTTACAGCCCATTGTCAATCCACTGCTGGATGAAGGCCTCCCCATTACGTGTAAGTTATGGGGGTTGTTTTACAACACTTCACTACTTTAGTCAGTTTAATTAGATGTTTGTAATTCAAATGTTTCACCTGGGAAATTGTGGATTATTTCATCTTCGGGTTTTATCTGGGAAATGAAAACTGTGCTAAATAATAGGTATTCATGTGTACTGAGATCTGGTTTTATTCTGTTGTACTTTGTCACAGTACACTGCATAGTGTTGATTGACCTAGACTGACTGAGAAGCATGTCCCAGCTTGGGCTACAGTGGAAAAAATGTGTAATGGTTCATATCAGGGAGACAGAGACTTCTTAGAGGCAACACGTTTATTTAACAATAAAGCCCTAACCACGAAGGGGTATATCTGCCCCTTCACCAGCTACCCTCGGGAGGTATCTCCTCCGGGCTAGCTAACCCTCGCTCACACGGGGTCTCTATCTCGGACCGGACCCCAGGTGGCATCCGGGTCTTGTAGTCGGGAAAGTCTTCTCCAGGTGATGGCTTCGGTCTTGATTCTTGCAACAGCCAGCCGGACCTCTTCAGGGCTCCGGCTTATATTTCCCGTGGCGGGGCTTACTCCGCCCCTAGCCACGCCCCCCTTCTCGAGCCTTCGAGAGGGTCCTGGTCCCGTGGTCCCCCAGCCCCCTCTTTGGGGCCCCCGGACCAGTACCTCCAGTCACCAGGCGTCCGGGTTCACATGGACTGCCATGGCCCCATGTACCCCTGCAACGTCCCTGGCACTCTCGCCCCATAACCTCCAGAGGCTGGCACTGCACATGGAGTGCAGTGCCATCCATCCTTGATCTTCGATCTCAGCCGGCCCCCGCTAGGGCCGGTACTGCATTCCCACTGCAGTGCTGTAGATGGTGTGAGCGGCGTGTGTCGTGCCACTACAGATGGTAACCACATGTTATCTATATATATAAAAGGGAAATTTGTGAATATGTGTGTCTGTTCGACATTCAACAAACTTGAAATTTGGCATGTGGGTAACTTCCAGACTGTACACAATGAAAAAAGTATAAAAGTAGACTTTTATATTTGGGGGGGGGGGGGGGGGGGTTGGGCACAATAATGCATGTAATATTTTGCACGGCAAGTGAGCGGTGAGGTCACATCTGTGATGTCACCCGCATGCAGAAGCGTTACGCAGTGTGCCTGCTGACGTCATGCATCCCCCCCAAACCCTCTGCGTAGGCCATGTATTAATCCAAGACGGGTAGTAAAGCTAGTCCCAGATAATTAATCGGATTCCAGTGTTGTCCCCGTTCTGCTGTAATATGCACTAATGCCTGCTTTTTTGACACATAAAATACAGACTGATTGAATTGAGTTAGCCATGTCTGAATGCCTTGGGGACTACAATACTGTAGGTTAGTCGCTCGCACGCACGACGTAGTTCTGTTCACTCAATCGCGTTATATCCAATGCGCATCCGCGTTATAAAAAACAATTGTTCCCTAATATATTCATCGTGTTATATCCCATTCACGTTATGGAAACACGCCTTATAGGAGAACAGGCTGTATGTTAAATGTCTTTTGCAAGAGCTTTCTCCAGTATGCATGGAATTCTGAGGACACTTCTTTTTCCAACCCAATCCAAAAAACAGACTTAAAGTACTTAAAGGAATTGGATAAACATATTAACCTCGCCTTTTGCCCATATTGCATCCATTCGTGTGAAATTTTTAATGGCGCGGTGACACAAACCTATTACATTTTAAGGATATAATCCCTTGTTTATCATGACGCCCTTTCTACATCTATGTCTCAATAGCATTACGGAGATCGCGTGACGTGAGGGTTCTGCCTTTGTAGTGAGGGTTGTAAGTTGACGCCGAGGAGGGAGGAGGAGGCACCTCGGCCCCCCCATGTGGAGTGACGTCAACCGCTAATTATTAGGAGGTTGTCACCTGATTATGATTATTGAGGGGGGCTGTTCGATGTGGAGTTACGTCACCTGCTCATGATTATTAATGAGGGGGGAGGGTGATCAATGTGGAGTGACGTCACTGCTTATGATTATTAATGAGGAGGGGTCCATGTGGAGGATGTAACCTGTGCATGATTATTAATGAGGGGAGCTGGTCGACATGGAGGGACGTCATGAGCAATGCACACAGGCACAACTATACAATGCAATATAACACAACAAAATCAATTGCGCGGCCTGCCCGGGTCTCCAGCCAGCGTCCCGTAACAGCCCGGACATCCACAGGCAGCAGATGACCGTGGCGGCTCCCTCCTTCGAAGGCCCTCTCGTCGCGGTCCCTGGTTTGGTGGCGCCGGTGTCGCCTTGCCTGGTGCCGCTGTCTCTCCGGCCCCCGAGGCCCCCGGTCGTGCCGCCGCTCCGTCAGGCCTCACATGGGGCGCTGTAGGTGACAAGGGAACATAGGGCACCGAACCCCCTGCCGGTCGGCGTGTGGTGGTCGGCGACCTTGGCCTGGGTAAGGATGATGATGATGATGATGATGTTGGCGGTGATGTTGGTGGAGATGATGGTGGAGAGATGTATGGTTTGAGGCGGGTGGGGTGTACAAACCATCGTCGCTTACCCAGTTGGACCTGGACGCACTGCGGTCGGAGTGCTTTAATGACCTCGACCGGCCCTTTCCAGGGTCGGTGCAGCTTTGGTGAGAGGCCAACCGGCACCTGAGGACGGTGTAGCCATGTCTGGTCCCCGACTTTAAAGGGCTTGGCTGTCACTGTCCTCTCCCGTATCCGTACATTACTCTCTTGGCTCGTGGCCGATGCGGCCTCGGCTGCTTGGCGGGCCTCTCTCAAATAATTGAGGGAGGTCTTTAGTGCCTTCGGCCATGCGTCAGCTCTTGCGGGAATGTCCATCAGCTGCACCTCAATAGGCGGAACGGGATCCCGTCCATGTACATCAGGAAAAACGGCGAGAACCCCGTTGCCGTGTGCGGGGCCACCCTGTACACCGCTAAGACCGATAGAATGTGGAGGTCCCAGTCGGAGTGGTTTTCGTCCACCACTTGGGACAGCATGCCCGCGATGGTGCGGTTAAGCCGCTCTACCATCCCATCGGTCTGGGGATGATACGGAGATGTTCGGACCTTTTTAGTGCCCAGGATAGAGCAGACGTCCTTCAATAGCCGTGAGAAGAAATTCCTGCCCTGATCCGTGAGCAACCGCTCCGGTGCCCCCTTATCAAGGACATAGCCTCCCACGAAGGCATCGGCGATGGTCTGTGCCGTTTGGTCCGGGAGCGCCCACGCCATCGGCCACCTCGTGCAGTACTCGACCCCGACCAACAGGTATTTATTTCCCTGTGGCGTGACCGGCAGTGGTCCCAGGATGTCCAACGCAACCAATTCGTTGACCCTGGTCACCGTGATGGGCTGTAGGGGTGCCCGGCTTACCCGGGGTGGCGGCTTTCGCCGCGCACATTCGACGCAGGTAGCGACCCATCGGTGCACGTCAGCGGTCATGCCTGGCCAAAAGTACCGACCCTGTAATGTGTACAGCGTCTTCCGCCCGCCAGGTGCAGCAGCTGGCGGCCGTGTACGTCCATAACCAATTGTTGACGCAGCGACTCCGGAACTAACAGGCATCGCCGGCGCCCTGTCGGGTCCCATCGCATGAGGAGGTCCTCCCATACGGTGTACTCCTCCCCTCCTGCCTCTGCTGAGGCGCGTAGCATTCGCAGTGGGGCTTCCTCCAGCTGTAGACGTCTCCAATCGTCCAAGGTCAGCCCCAGGTCGTGGTCGGTCAGCTGGACCTCACCCTGTGCTCCCTCCGCCGTGCGTACGGGAGCGATGACTGTCCCCTCCGGCCTCGCCTCCTTGCAGCGTTCCCCGCCTGTGGTGCATGAACAAGGGCCCTGGGGCGCCAGTCGGGACAATGCGTCTGCGTTGGCGTGTCTGGTCTCTTTGCGATGCACCACTTAGTACCTGTACTCCTGCAGGCGCTCTATCCACCTGGCCAGCTGGCCCGAAGGCTGGTCGATGCGGAACGAATACTGCAAGGCCGCGTGGTCAGTGCGGACCGTAAATTTGCGACCATACAGGTAGGGTCGGAATTTCTGCACGAAGTGAACGACTGCCAGGAGTTCCCTACGTGTGACGCAGTAGCGCTGCTCCGCTGATGAAAGCAAGCGACTACTGTAGGCGATAACCATCTCCCGACCCTGCTGGACTTGTGACAAGACACTGCCGATGCCCACATCACTGGCGTCCGTGTCCAGGATAAAGGGGAGGCCAAAATCCGGAAAGGCGTAAAATGGGGACGTGACATCAGGTGTGCCGTTCAGTGCGATGACGTCACGTCTCCTAGGGTACTTAAGGGATACCCCGTGATGTAAGCGGGGTCACTGTGGGAACGGGGAAAGTAAACAGGGTGAAGAGGGAAGCAGGGGTAGAGAGAGGGATCGAATAGTGAGTCTGGGGAGAAGCCGGTGGTAGCCGTAGAGGTGCTTCTCTCTCCGGTCGGTGGAGTCGGCAGAGTCCACGATCCGACACGAGAGAGAGAGACCGGAGCTAGCCAGCAGGGACCCGGACTCAGAGTAGGACCCCTAGCCCCTGGAAGTTGTGTACCCTGTGTAGTATTGATAAGCTTTAATAAACCCTGGTGAAAGCCCCTAACTTACCTCCGTCTCCGAGTACGTACGTCAGGAACTACTCAACATCTGTATTGGGTTCCAGAGACACTTGT